CTACTTGAACCACATAATAGCTGCCACATCTTGGACTGAATGACTTCTGCACAGTGCCTTAGTCTCTTGCCATATTCCACTCCCTGTTGAGTTTCTTAGCCTGTCCTGGAAGAGAAATTAGTAACCCTGGCTCTGAAGTGGTGGTAGGGAGAGGTCACAACCAAGGAGGAGCTGTTTCCTTAATCCTGCACTCTTGGGCCTGAGGCTAACCTCTTGCCTGTCTTTGGGCCATCTAAGTGAGACAGAAATTCATCTGTTTTTAACAGTTCCAGAGGCAATTCCTCAACATCTCTTGGTAGTCTGTTCTACAGTTTCTGAAAATCCTTGCCAAGGTCAACTAGAAAATAGGCCCTTGTGACCCAGAGTTTCTAAAAAGCTCACTTGACAAATTGAGTAATGAGTCAATCAAGAGGAAAAATAAAGTCAGAGATTACCCTGCTTCTGGAAGGAACGAGTCATCAACAGCTGAAGGAGTGGATTGTAAAGGGGCACAGAGGCCAGCATCCTGGAGAGTGTACAGCACAGCTCTAACTCGGGGAACTGAGGAGCTCTGTCATGCCCAAGAACATCAGAAGCTTGAAGTACAAAGGATCATTTGTACTGTGCCCTGAGAATAAACTCCAATGAAATTATTCACAAGGAATGATTGCTGTCAAGGTCTTGTCATTGCAGTTTTCCCATTTCATGGTGTCTAGAACTGATAACCCTTGAGATCATGTATAGTGCTCGAAGACAAAGGGCATCACTTAACATCAAGGAGGCACATTAAAAAAAGAGTAGGGGGACAAAGAGGTACAGTGCAGAAAGAATTAGAATAAAAACCTGTGCTTGCTGCAGGTATTGAGACAGAGCTTAGAGGGAAGCTTATAGGGAATGTCAAGGGTCCATGTCTGTGAATCATGTTATATTTTACTGGCACTCTACTAAATATGATATATGGGAAATAATGCTTTATTGGATTTTTAAGAATACTTTTAGTCATTCAAATGTTTATTGAGGAGCACCTAGGTGCCACGCACTAGGCTGGGCAACAGGGCATGATGGTGCATTGTCTTGAGGAGTGAACAGCTTATTGGGAGAGACAAAGTGTGAGCAAGCAACTGTGAAATAGCATTAAGTGTGTTAATAGAGGCAAGGGACTTACCATGAGGAGAGAGAAAGAGAAACTTAGAAGAGCAGCACAGAGAAACTGTTGCAATTCTGGGGATTTCATTTGAGCTACAGATAGCCCTGCATTGGCATTTGCAGACTGAATATGCATGAATGATAAAAACCCTCAGTGAGTAATCCAAAAGGTCCCTGTCATGAGGTAATTTGCTGAGACAGAAATTTGAATGGGGCTGCCAGGAGGCCAGACTGTACTTGCCAGCCACTCAGCTAGTGAATGACCACTCCTAACACTGGGATTTGTGTCCCAGTACCACTTAGCTCTCCTTCCTTTCTCATCGACATCCACACAATAATTCTCATACTGTGATCAATTTTTTTCTTCGCAGAGTAAGGGGTAAGGGTAATAGGGCGTTAATAAGGTAAAGATATAAGGTAATGAAGTAAGAAGCTTTTTTTTTTTTTTTTTTTGAGACGGAGTCTCGCCCTGTCGCCCAGGCTGGAGTGCAGTGGCTCGATCTTGGCTCACTGCAAGCTCCGCCTCCTGGTTTCACGCCATTCCCCTGCCTCAGCCTCCAGAGTAGCTGGGACTACAGGCGCCGCGCACCACGCCCGGCTAATTTTTTGTATTTTTAGTACAGGCCGGGTTTCACTGTGTTAGTTATGATGGTCTCGATCTCCTGACCTCGTGATCCACCTGCCTCGGCCTCCCAAAGTGCTGGAATTACAGGGGTGAGCCACCGTGCTGGCCAAGAAGTTTATTTTAATGGCAAAATTTATTTAAGTAGCTTTAGAAATTACTTTGGCCCCATATTCATAGAACCATTAAGAGTCTGAAAAGATTCTTTACATTTTTCAGTTACACTTTACTGTACTTTATGGTGGAAATTATATGCCATGATGACATTCATGATTTTGGAGACTCACCAAGGTCATGGATGAACCCTCTGAGAATGTCAAAGGTCCAAGTCCATGAATAATGTTACATTTTATTGGCTTTACTAAATATAACAAAATCTTATTTTAAGTTTGAAAAGTAAGATATTCTCTCTCATGTGATTTCCCTATATTTTGGGAAAGGCTGCCATTCCCCTTCCTGTTTATGAAGGTTTAACATGTGTCACCAGAAGACAAAGGAGTTATTTATCCACAAAACTGCAGCCTGACAAGCAACTCAAATTAAGAAAGATAACTACATTCCCCAATGAAATGCTTTCCTTTTGGTCTATTGCCTGGAACCTAATAACCACTGAAACTCAAACTGACCCCACCCCGTCTCCCAAATACCTCCAAGAACCTCAAACTTAACATGACATCACCCACAATCCCAAGCTGCTTCCACTTCTATCTCCTTGTTCAGTTATCGAGTAAATAAATTTACCTCCTAAGTGATTCTCAAATGCAAATACAGCCAGGCCTCACCAGCCCCACAGCACTGCCCCAAGCTGGCCGACGGTCAAAGCATCTGTCATCACAATATTCTGAAACTCTCCCTCCTCTATTCTCTATATTGATGCAGAGTAATTTTTCTCAAAATGCATGGCTTGCCTTCATTGGCTTCCACTGAGGTTTAAGATAAGGTCCTATCAAGAGAAAAGACACCGGGCCCCACTAGAGGGTGAAGGGTAGGAGGAGGCATAGGATAAAAAAAAAAAAATACCTATTGGGTACTATGCTTATTACCAGTGTGATAAAATAATCTATGCAAAATAATCTAAATTGCAAACCCCTATGACATGCAATTTACTTATATAACAAACCTGCACATGTACCTCTGAACCTAAAATAAAAGTAAAAAAAAAAATTATTCACCAAACCCAGTGATCAAGGTTAATAACACCAGTAATAAGTCATATTGCTATCACGTACCCCTGACATAATGCAATGAGAAGGCACTTCATCTTCGTGGTATTCATCCCCAAAATCCAAAACCCTGGTCTAATCATGAGGAAACATCAGATAAATGCAAATGAGGAACATTCTACAGAATATCTGACCAGTCCTCTTTAAAAATGTCAAGGTCATGAAAAACAGAGAAAAACTGAGAAGCTGTCACAGATTGAGAAGAATAAGGAGATGTAATGACTAAATGCAGCATCATATCTTGGATTAGATTCTAGGAAAATAAAAAAGACATTAGTGGAAAAACTAGTAAAATCAAAATAAAGTCTGTAGTCTTAATTTTAAAAAGAAAAAAGATATGGTCTATCAACAACCAACTGATTCTTGGACAGTGATTCTGATGTCCACGGTCGATACATAACACTTTGAGAAATGCCTTGACTATGAGTTGTTTCTCCCCCCAGTACAGGATGAGTTCTTTCATATCTCTATACATTCTGCATTTGCCAAATGCTGGTACTGTACTACTCACTCACCTTTCTCTTTTCAGTGAGACTCTGTAGTCTGTCAGTATTCAATTTAAATGTCACTACTTGAGCCAAGTCACATGTAATCTCTGGCCACTGAGAGATTTACATGTGGCCAGAGATTTACACGTCTGGCTTTCCACTGCACTGGATACACATTCCCCACTAAAGCAGGTGTCACAGTTTACTATAATAATTTGTTAACAGGTTTATTTTCTCCAGTGTTCCATGTGCTCTTGTGTTCAACTTTGAATCCCTAGTACCTAGCACTATGTTTGGCTCCTGCCAGGCAGTCAGCCTTTGCTGAATGAAAGGACCAGTGATTGAGGTCTGTGGCTACATGGTAAAATGAGAGAGACGAGTCATCAAAGGGAAAAACTGCTTTTTTGTTAACTATAAAGTGAACCAAGGCGTCAGAACAGTTAAAACAAGGATGAAGAGTGCTTTTAGATCTCAATCAATTTAAAAATTACTCGACACATCTGTCCTAGCTAAAGACTAACTCTAGCACCTCCTGCGGCCTGTTAGTATTTCACACTTGGGCAGCTGATCCAGCAAATGTTCAATGATCGGATATGAAATACTTAGAAGCTATTGGCTTTGAAAATATAAATGTAAGAAGATGCCTAGTAAAAGCATCTGCTAAATATTTTTTCCTGTTTGGCACATTAGACTGCAGTATCAGACACATGACCGTGGTCATACTGTACACAATGCCCAATGTCTGCCAAAACTCTGGCATATGAGAGACTTAGTGTTGGAGTACGGAGGGATTCTTCGGGTATCCCCACTACACATTGGTGGAAAGAAGAGCTTCCAGAACAAATCCAGTCAGGGAAAGAGGCAAATACACTGCATTTAGTAACACTGCTGGAGCCTGAAGGGAGGATACTAAGAGGGCTCAAGCCTAAATCTAATCCAACAAGCTAGATTCTGAGTAAAGACCAATCTCTGATAAAGCTGTTCCCCTAACCCTTCTGCTGCCCGAAACACTCCACAGCCCCTACCGGGCTACTGGGTTCCCCAGTGGACTCTGGACAGCGCCGCGCCCTGCTCGGCCCCACCCACCCCGTGGCGCTTGGGCCCGCCCTACTCCCCTACCCCACGGCACCACCTACCAGGGCCCCGCCCCGCCCCGCCCCAACCCCACGTGCGGGGCCCCACCCCGGCGCTAGCGGCCCTTTAAACACCCCCACCCTTACACATTACCCCCCCACCCGGACGGCAGCCGGAGAGGGACAAAACTCATGGCGTACAGCCAGTTTCCTCCGCGGAGCGCGTCCTGTGCTGCCCCAGCCGTTGGGGCCCTCCACTCCGGGCCACAGCCTCTTGGCGCCCCCCGGGCCAGGGCGGCCGGGCCGAGGAGTGTCGACGCGGTCCGGCTACGGGGCGGGGCCGGCGGGAGCTCCGGTCGCCGCTGCCGCTGCTGCCTCCGCCTGCCGCTCGGGCCGCCCGCTCGCCCGCCGCTGGGTGCGCTGCACGCGGGGGGCAGCCGCGGTGCAGAGGTTCATGCAGCGGCGGCGGCGGCGGCGGCTGCTCCTGCTGCCGCCGCGGAGGCAGACAGACCGGGCGCTGCCGCCGCCGCCCTCCCCCGGCTCCATGCCGCCGCCGCTGCCGCCTCCTCCTCTCCGGCGAGGGGCGGGGGGCTCCGGCCCGGGGTGGGCACCACTCCTCACAGCGCCGCTCCCCTCCCTGCCCTCCGCCCGGGCGCTGGAGCCGGCGAGGGCACCCTTCGCCTCCTAGGAGTGCACCCTCCGCGCGCCCTGCCGGAGCGAGGGGGCGGGCGTGGGCGGGCGTCGGGGCAGCGGAGACCCCGCGCGGCTGCAAGAGGAGGGGGCTTCCCCAAGGATGCCCGGCAGCTCCCGGTTCCTAGGTGCAAGCTGAGTCTGACCGGGAGCGAGCGGCGCGTCGCCATGCCGGCGTGACGCGCCCCCGGCTGCCCGCGCGGGCCCCCGCGCTGCCCCACGCCGCGCCGTGCCGGCGCCGGGCTGCAGGATGGGCTGTATCCAAAGCATCACCTGCAAAGCGCGGATCCGGCGCGAGAACATCGTGGTGTACGATGTGTGCGCCACCATCGACCAGTGCCCCACGCGCATCGAGGAGACCTCGCCCATCGTCCTGCGCTACAAGACCCCGTACTTCAAAGCCTCGGCCCGCGTGGTCATGCCCCCCATCCCCCGCCACGAGACCTGGGTGGTGGGCTGGATTCAGGCGTGCAACCAGATGGAGTTCTTCAACACCTACAGCGACCTGGGCATGTAAGCGACCCGCCGCGCGGCACGGGAGCGGACTCTGGGCCCCCAGCTCTGCTCGCCACCTTAACCCCCCTCCCCAGCTCCTTCCTACTGCTGTCCCCATCGTCTTTCTAAACCTTCCTCCCGCCTCCTCTCCCACCTCCCTCCTCCCTACGCTTTTGTTTCAGTGACAGGGCGGGTGTAGGGAGGCTCCTCGCGAAGGCATTTTCTCGTGGTTTGCTTCTGACTCCCCAGAAACGCGAGGAGAACGGTGCGGGGCGGGAAGAACGCGACAAGGAGGGTTCGAGAGGCGGAGGTGGGGATGGCTGGCGAGTGCCCGGCGAGTTTCAGGGCGCCGTCTGTGCTTTGTGGGGCTCCCCGGGAAGAGTTTGGGGGAAACCACAGAGGAGTGGAGTGGAGTGCCGGGGGCGCATGGGCTGTGCCGCGTGTCGTTGGAGAAACCGGAGCGGGCTTGGAAGAGCAGGTCCCGGGCATCCGAGCGGGAGTTGGTAGTTCTGTCCTTGCCTTCGCGACTGTTGAATTTCGAACCCTTTTCCCCCAGGCCAGGGAGCCGGGAGGCGTTTCCGTCTGGAACCACAAGCCGGACATAGTTGCCTCTCTTGTCTCCGCGCCCCCTGGACCAGTTCTGGTGGGGAGCTGGAAGGCACCGGGTGCGTCCCGGCGAAGCAGGGCGGATGGCCTTGTGCGAGCAGCCTTCGGCTGGCGCGGCGCGGAGTGTTTCTTATGCTAAAGGGAAGGATGGGTCTCTTGTCTGTCTAGGGTCCTTAGTTTTCAAAACTTTCCTAACTGCGGCACTGGAAGGGATTCCCCTGGCGCCCACCGCCGAATTCTATCGGCGAGCTGGGAGCTCTCCAACTTTCAGCAGCGCCGGTTGGTGCGCGCCGGGCTTGGCTGCTGCGGTGAAGACCGAGGATCACCGCGGCTCCTCAACCGCCAGGGGCCGCAGGCTGTGGGCGATCGCGTCCAGGACTTTTATATTTACCAAATTTTCATAACTCCGCACCCGCCTCCTTTCAGAACTAGACTCTGAGCAGGTGGCAACGACAATAGCTAAAAGGTTTAGGGCCTGCCTTCTACCTGCTGTTACAGTGTAGGTCTAGAACACCCTAATTAGCCTGCAGCCTACAGGGAAACCCTTTTTCTGGAAATTCAACTTCATTTCACTTACTGATCTAAAACTCTAGAGCTCCCAAGGTTCGCCTATTTAATATGGATATGGGGTGGGGGAGTTCCCATTTTAAAAGGTCAAACCATCTTTTTAGCAGCAGTTTGCAGGCTTTTTATTGCACTCTGAGAGCATGTAAGTTAACAGTAGTCATAGGCGCTAACAGAAATTTTGACAGGTCGTTGTTTCCTTTTTTCCTCCCAAAGATTTTGCACTTTACTCTTTGAGCACAAAAGCTTAATGCTAGAGAAAACTCAATTTCTAGTGAAGAAATGTGAGGCCCAGTTTCCAATATGCCTCTGCACACTGTATTCTTTCTGGAAGACAGCTCGATGTGAGAAATGAAGGATATTTTATTTTGGGTGAATCATGTCATTTAAAAACAGACACACCCTCAAAAGAATGATTATATGTGAACACATGTGTCTCTTAAAACTGCTTTTTAAAATAAATCCATTATTTCCAGCCAAGTCAGAGAAAGCCACAGGCAGGGCCAGAGCCCTCCCTCTCATTCCCGTGGCGTCACCCTGATGACGGTGGGTTTTTGGAGGACAGCAACTACTCCCCTCAACAGCCTGGGGCCTCTGGTAGAGGAGGCCAGGAGTGACTGTGCAGAAGCAGCCTCACTTTTCCCAAGACTGCACAGCGGAGCTCTCTGTTGCCTCAAATCTCTTATGAATAAGTAAATCAAAACAAATACGTAAATACAGAATTATTTCCATAAAACTTATTTTACCTTAGGAGAAGTCAAGTTGAGATATAAACAGACATGGTAGTTGAACTTCGTGGAATCTGTAGGGAAGATGTCCTCATTGGAACCAACTTTAATGGATATGAATCAGTGATAGGATTCCTGACCCTTCTCTACTGAATCCTTGCATTTGGGATTTGGAAAGAGGTTTTGTCTTTAAACTGCCACTTTTGGTGTTTTAAGAATCTTGGTTTTCATGTAGATGTAGGAGAGCAAAAATAGACCCCCAGTGAGTAATAAAGCATATTATTATAGATTTGTGTCCACAGTCTACCTGTTTTCTTCATGGTTGCAATAATTGCTATGTGTTTAAGGCCACTTTGGAGCCCAGATTTGAATGAACCAATTTCCACAAGATATTTATGCCCAGAAAACTTTGCTAGTGTAAACTTTTTAATGGGAATTCATATTGCATGAAAGTTACAGCAGTCTATTAGTTATTATGTGTACTTTAGCCAATACCTGGATTGTAAAAAACAGCATGGAGTGAATTTTCACCCCTGTGCAGTGTTCTGTCACATGAACCACAATATGGTGAGAGGGTCTGGGTTAGAAAAGTGCCTTTTCATATTTTGAAAAAGATTGTGCCGGAGGAAATCCACAGCATAAAATGGCAAGAAACTTCTGTTTTACAGGATTGAAAGAAAGCCTGAGGTTTTGTGGTTTAAATTTTAAACTTTTCCAAGAAGGGGTAGGCTTCTAAAAGAACGTTTGAAATAGTTGATGGCCATGATGACCAGAGTTTAATTTGAACTTTAACTCATTGCCATGGCACTTCCTCGAATGATTCTATAGAAACCAGGCTGGTGAATAGTTGTGGCACCTATTTATTTCTCATTTGGCCCTGGTGAATCTTGCTAGTGCAGCCTTGAACAGACTGCTGTAAGTCTCATCCCTTGGGGAGGAAGGGCTCCTGACTTTCTCAACCTGTCAGTAAACAAACATTTACCAAATGCTTCTGATGTACAGGCAGCAGCACCAAAGGAAACAAAGGAATATGCAGGCAGTTTTCACTGCTTCTCATTCTAAGATGACACATGCAGAGAAAAGCAGTACTCTTGGGCAGTGTGAAAGAAATGCCTGAGAGAGAGAGCTGGGGGGCCAGACAGGGTGTTCTGGAGGTGAATGGACTCAAGGCGAACTCTGAGGTATGGGTAATATTCCGGTAGGCAAGGAGGAGGGACTGATTCCAAAGGGGAAGACCAGCAAAGATACGGAGGTAGGAAAATAGAAGGTGTTTTAAGGGGACATAAGTTGGCTGGAGGGGAGTGTTCAAGGAGAACAGTAGGAGATGAGGTTTGAAAGGTAGCTTGGGTCTGTTGGGTGGGCCCAGAATAACACAGCCTGGTAAAGGGAAAGATTAAAGTCCGATCTTGACCAGACAGAGGGTGTCAGAAAGCTCTTCATACCTTCTTTATACCTCTTGAGTATGCAGAAGCTTTCCAACAGAGGTGGAAGATGTTTATAATGGAACAGTTTTGAATGCTGGAGTACAACGCTGAAGAGGTTTCCTGAGTAAGATTTAAACAAGGAATGGGGTTCTTGTGCCAGGGATGAATGAGGTGAAGACAAGGTCAGGGAAAACCAGCAATAGCTGAAGGCCCTTCTCATTCTCTTTGAGTCTTCTGGGGCTATAAGGGAACTCTCCATGGTCAGGCTAGGGCTGATAGTGTGGAAACCATCTCCTCTGCCAATTTGGAAAACTTTGGCCTGTGTGAAACTTTAGGAAGTCATAGCTCAGTCGTAGCTTCAAGAGACAGCTCCCGCCTGTCCCTCTACTCCTCCTTCAGAGCCAGGGTTATTGAGGATTTGGCTGTACCTACCCACCTCTGTTGCCTGTTCAGTCTAGTCCAAGCTGATTTCTATCCATTCTGAAACTGCTCTTGCTAAGTTCGTCTGTGATTTCCATGTTGCCGAATCCCTCAGACACTTTTGAGAGACACACAGTTTCAGCAGCATTCCTTGTAGACAGGCTTCTCTGTCTGGAACTACTCCTATCTTTTAGCTTCTATGCTGTTTTTTTCCGCTGTTTCTCTATCTCCATATTACCTCAATATACAGTTAATGGGACTTTTTTCTTCTGGTTCTGTGCTTTCCCTGGGTAATTTCATCCGTCCTAATTGTGGGAGATAACCTCTGTGATACACAGTCACCTCCAGTCTAGATATGTGTGTGTCTTCGCACAATAATGACGTGACACAATGAAAGACATCTCAAGCTTAGGGTATCCAAACCCGAACTCTTGATCCCCACTATAGCTCCCACCCAAAATCTGCACCTTTGTCGTTCTTCATCTTAGTAAATGACACCTCCACTCTTTGGGTTGCTCGAGTGAAACCATCTCTATGTCACCCTAGATATTTCCCCACACATCCAGCCCATCATTAAATCCTAGTGATCCCATCTCCAGAATATATCTGTAATCCAGCCACCACTCTCTCTGTCTACTGCTACCATCTCAGGACATGTCACCATCAACTGTCACCTGTTCCTGCAGAGACTTTCTAACTGAACCTGTCACCACCATTCTTGTCCCCCTCCAGTCTACCTCCCACATAGCAGCCAGAGTGATATATTAAAAATGTAGATGTTACTACCTTCTTGCTTAAACCTTTTAATAACTTACCATTGCGATTGGAATAAAATGGGAAAAATCTCTTGCATGGGAGGCCAAGTGGGGGCAGATCACTTGAGCCCAGGAGTTCAAGACCAGCTTTAACCAAGATGGTGAAACCCCATCTCTACTAAAAATTCCAAAAATTAGCTGGGCATGGTGGTGCACGCCCCATTTACTCAGGTGGCTGAGGCATGAGAATCACTGGAACCTGAGAGGCGGAGGTTGCAGTGAACCAAGATCGCACACTCCAGCCTGGGTGACAGAGTGAAACTGTTTCAAAAAGAAAGAAAGAAAGAAAATCTCTTTCTGTTCTGTGAATTTCTGTTCTTAAGCCATGTCTTCCAGTCTTTCAAAAGAACCAACTTTATCCCAACTCAGAACATTTCCATATGCTGCTCTCCATCTGAAATGTGCTTTCTCCCTGCACTGCTCTAGCTAATTCCTGCTGCTCATTCAGGTCTCAGCCGTTA